CATGCAGAAAATCAGTATCAGCAATATATTGTGAAGAATTTTTGACAGAAAGGACATTTGTGCAATTATTATAAAAAGTATTTTTGTACAATTCATGAAATTTGTACAGTTTGTGTAATATGTGGCATTTGTACAATATTATAAAATAATTATTTTGCTCAAACGTACATAAAATATATCAGATTATTTATTTTTGTAATTATTTGAGAAGGTTTGTATATATTCAAGAGTAAAAATAAACACCTTGCTGCATTACTTTCAGTGGTAAGCATACAAACTCTTTCCCCCCCCCAAAATGGATAAATTTTCTCTTTTATGATTTTAACATATTATCTTACTATAATTCACCAAATATCTTTTTTATTTTTCCCTTTTTGATAACTAATGAAGTCCTGTTACATGATTTTGGTAAATTAGTTTTTAAAAATTCAAAAACTTTTAAAGCTTTATGTCCAGCAAGTTAGCTTAACCAAAGCTTTATGTCCAGCAAGTTAGCTTAACCAAAGCTTTATGTCCAGCAAGTTAGCTTAACCAAAGCTTTATGTCCAGCAAGTTAGCTTAACCAAAGCTTTATGTCCAGCAAGTTAGCTTAACCAAAGCTTTATGTCCAGCAAGTTAGCTTAACCAAAGCTTTATGTCCATCAAGTTAGCTCAACCAAAGCTTTATGTCCAGCAAGTTAAGCAACAAAGCTTTATGTCCAGCAAGTTAAGCAACCAAAAGCTTTATGTCCAGCAAGTTAAGCAACCAAAGCTTTATGTCCAGCAAGTTAGCAACCAAAGCTTTATGTCCAGCAAGTTAAACAACAAAGCTTTATGTCCAGCAAGTTAGCTTAACCAAAGCTTTTATGTCCAGCAAGTTAAGCAACTAAAGCTTTATGTCCAGCAAGTTAGCTTAACCAAAGCTTTATGTCCATCAAGTTAGCTCAACCAAAGCTTTATGTCCATCAAGTTAGCTCAACCAAAGCTTTATGTCCATCAAGTTAGCAACCAAAGCTTTATGTCCATCAAGTTAGCTTAACCAAAGCTTTATGTCCATCAAGTTAGCTTAACCAAAGCTTTATGTCCAGCAAGTTAGCTTAACCAAAGCTTTATGTCCATCAAGTTAGCTTATAGTGGGTCAGCCAATTTGTATTGGTTATAAATAGAAATAAAAATTGCCCCTCTACAATTTTTACAATATCAAATGTAACAAAGACAACAACAAGAGAAATAATCAAGTAGAAGGTAAAGAAAGCAAACAAAACAAGACCGATAATATATGTATATACAAATATATATTAATAACAAGTTACAATACATGGAAACAGTACAAAGGACGAAGTGTGTGTGAATATTCTGTATGTGCATGCGTGTGTGTGTATTATGCTTAGCGTGTTTCCACGCTATCCCTTGTTAGCGACTACATTTCGAGGTTGATAGCTGAAAATCCTCTAGGAATAAGAGAGTTTACCTCAAGGTGTCAGTGCACAGGCCTGAAGGAAAAAAAGAGATAGAGGCGAAGGGTCATTGGCTATTTATAGCCAGGAAAGAGAGACCCCTGGTGAAAGGGTTAACAGAGTGAAAGGAGGAGTTAACTCCGACAAGCTTAACCAAAGTTTTATGTCCATCAAGTTAGCTTAACCAAAGTTTTATTTATTTATTTAAAAAAGAATCCTAGCCAGAACCCAAAATTATGACTTTTGATGTAATTTTTCAAATATCAGAAAATCAAGATGTTAAAAAGTTATATTGTTGTGCTTGTATTTGTAGTTCAAGTAATGACCACCAGTGGACCCTAAATATTAATCTCAGGTGATGTATTTATTACAAATCACCACAAAAACATAGTTTGATGTTATGCCTGTGTTTATTGCTGAAATAAAAATTGGGTTACATGAATGTATGCTAAAAATGTGGGTCCTTGAAATACTAGTGAAATCCACCTTCTAGATTACTAAATTAACAGTTATCCAAGAGTTCATAATTTTCAAATAAGATATGATTCAATAAATATTGATATGTAGTTCAAATTTTTGGCCTCATTTTGATAATCTGCAAGAACTAGCTTTAAATTCTGCTTTCTGGGTGGGTTTTCACTTAATTAGAATAATTTAAATTAAGTCACATTTAGTTAAAACACTTACTGATTTGCACCTCTTTTTGAATTATGATACTAAAAGTTATTGAATTTTCTCACCTTACTCCAGTAAGTACATTCTAATTAGAAAAAAAATGTTCCAAATATCTCTGTGTAACATACATTGATTAACCAAAACATTTTGACAACTTGTTTTAAACTTCCATGTGCCAGTCAAACAGTTCTTACTCAATCATATATGAACTCTATAAGACTTTTAAAGCTTTCCTTTGGGATCTATTTGCTGAATGTTAATAGCAGTTTCTTCAACTGCAGCAGTGCAGCATTATAGGGTTGATGTTCTTAAAGATCTAACACATAAGTTCTCAATGGTGTTAAGACCTAGGGAGTTTGGTGACCCTAGCAACACAATAAAATTTTCTTCATGTTTTCAGAAGCCATTCCTAGAACTTACACAAGGTGCATTGACCTACTGAAAGATACAATTGTCATTGTGAAAGATAATTGCCAAGAAGAGATGTATGTAGTCATCAATGATGTTGAGACACAGGTGGTCCACATGAATAAAACTTGGTGTTTCCCATCAGATCATTGCACAAACCATCACAATTCTTACACTGGCTTACAGTTTTCTCATGGTGAATCATAGTGTTGTCAATCTTCCAGGATAATGATGCACATGTACCCTATTGTACCCCTTATTCAGGAGAAAGCTTGACTCACTGGATCAAGTGACCTTCTTTTATTAATACTAGGTCTAGTGACCTTCTATTAATACTAGGTTCTGATACTTGTATGCCCATTAAAAAATATTTTCAGCAGTAGACATTGGTTATCATGAGTATTGGGTTACAGTTATGCAACAAGGATAAATGTACTGCATTCTTTCTTTCATTTTAATTAAAGCTTTCAGCAATTTATAATGCAGTAGCCCTTCTGTTGACATGTACATGACAGGAAAGCCTCCATTCTCTTCTCATATTAATAGGTTTTGACCATCAGTTAGTGATTTTTTCCCTCCTTGGAACATTATCAACAGATCAGTCAGTTATAAGCCATGCATCATACACACTTAGGCAATCATGTATCTTTCGATACATGACTAATGAGGCAGATTTTTTGACCCCAGTAGCTTGCCATTTCTTTCTGTGGTAGACCAGTTGCCATCCAAGGCTATAAAACCTGGTCTGTTCTGCTATTTACCCATAGTCAGTCAGTTATATGCCATGCGTGATACACATTTTAGGCGATCATGTATCTTTTGATACATGACTGACGAGACAGATTTTTTTTACACCAGTAGGTTGCCATTTCTTTCTGCGGTAGACTGGTTGCCATCCAAGGCTATAGAACCTGGTCTGTCCTGCTATTTACCCATAGCTGGTGGGGGGAGAAGAAGAGGATTCGTACCTTTCTCAAGGGTATTAGCATGTAAGTGAATGTAATGGATTTGACTGGAATTCGAACTTGGCTCTCCAATTCTTTAATCTGAGCCACTATCCATTACTCCACTGTGCCTGCTTCTAACAACAGGTACTCACCATAATTTAATATAGGTACCCAACAAGCTGTGTTCTTTTTGGAGATGTTCTGACCCTGTCTTCTGGATATAATAATAGATGGACTTTTTCTCAGTTACTCAAATCTTGATTCTTGCCTAAAATTGCAGCATTAACTATTATTCTTCCATCTTTTGTTTTAGTTCATCAGTGTTATGAGATCTTGATATGATAACATTCATGTATTTGTTTTATATTACTTTATATAATATAATATTCTGAATAAAACTCTGATTCCGAACATTTATCTGATTTGTTATGGTGTCACCATCTGCCTGCCTGTTAGAAATGTTAGCACCTACTGAGTACTCATTTCTGGGTCATAAAATGTAGATGTAATCTCTGCCTGTGACAGATTGCACAACTCATATGACTTCAGGCATTTTACATTTTTATGTTCTGAGACATCCCCATGAATGCTAGGAGATGAGAGTTTCTCTAGACTAGTTGCCAACCAAGGTTAGAGAGCCCAATCTGCCCTGTTATTTAACCCATAGCATGTGGGGAAAAGAAAAGGATATATACCTTTCCCAATGGTATTGGAGCAAAAGTAAATGTAACAAACTTGGATAGAATTCAAACTTGGCCCACTGATTTCTCTTCCCAAGCTACCAACCATTATACTATCCATGTATCCACTAAGTGTCACCCATTAAGCTAATAGTGACTTATGTAGTGTATTAGGGTGCTTATTTATGCTAAAGGGAAGAAACAAAATATAAAAGTATTTTCTTGGGTTTTATTCTTGTCTTGATTATCTCCTATCTTGCAAATCATTGAGTGTGAAATTAAGCCCTACCAGATACTTTATTTTGTCTTTTTTTATACTAATCTAAAAAATTAGTTTTAATAAATAATAAGTCAATGATAAAGGTTTTACAGTTTTTAATAAATACCTGCTCAGAGTTTAATATGCCTCCCATGAGGATAAATGAATGTGCGTTTATATCAACTCTTTTATAAGGTCATATAGACTCAAAGAGGTTGATCTTTTTTGTTTCTAATGACTAACAAGTCTTTAATAGTGCAAGCCAGAAGGCATATTCTGACCCATTTTGGATAAAAAAAAAACACATAGAAATGTACATTGATATAAATAGTTTTATAAATAATAGAATATAAGAAGATATTAAAAATATTCAGTAAAAGAAAATGCTGGTTGTAATAGGGAGGCTTTGACATGTTATTCCTTTTTTCTTATCATTGTTAATTTTCTTTTATCTTTTTTTCTTCTTTTTTTACTATACATATCTTTATATTTCTTATTGTTTCTTTTTATTTTTATTCATTCATTTTCAGTTGGCCCATTCATTTTCTTTCTTCAACTGTACTTGGTTCTAGTTTTGTTACTTCTCTCCCTTTTCATGCATGTTTCTTTTTCTTTATCTTACTTTATATCTTCTTCTGTTCATTCAGCCTTTTCAATCTTTCCTTTCTTTTTTCCTCTCATTTATTCAATTATTCTTCTTACTATCTTATTATATGCTTTCTCTATCTGTCTCTTTTTCTTTCGGGCATTTGATTTTAGAAATTTATCTTCTTTTTTAATCTGCCACATTTTCTAAATATCCATTCATATTCGTTCTATCTTCATTCCTCATTTTCCTCTCACTTTCACATTTTTCGTTCTTTAATTTATTTTAAAAATAATTTTCCTCTTTCCCATTTTCTCTTATTTTATTCATTCATTAAATTTCTTTTTTTTATTCATTCAGTTAAATTTTTTACCTCTTTTTCTTTTGCATTATTTTTTCTGTTAGCAATATTTTCCTTTGTTATTTCCTTCTAACATTCAGTTAAACTACTTATTTTCTCTTTTTCTCATTTATTTATTAAATTTCATTTTTCTCTGCTAATTATTAATGTTCATTTTTTTTTCTCCTTTTTAAATTGTATTTTCCACATACTTTACTTTCTTTTTATTCAATTATCCCTCTCTATTTTATATTTTTTCATAATTTCTCACTCTTTTTATCTTTCAGTTCTTCTCTCCTTTCCTTCTTTTATCTTAACCATTCATTTATTGCTTTTTAGCATTGTTAAAAGTTAAATACTAATTATATTTTATTTTCTCTTTCTCATACTTTCATCTTTCATATAATTTTTTCATCCTCTAATCGCACATATTTTTAGTCACTTTTCATGTGCAGTTTTTATTTTTGCTCATTCATTCAGAAATGTATCCTCTTTTTTCATCCATCCATTTCTCTTACATACATTCAAATCTTTTTAAAAACTTTCTTAAATATACATTCAACCTTTTCACTATCTTCTCATGTCTTTTGTCATTCATATATTTCCATTTTCTGTCTGATTTCCTTCAATTTTTAAATTCTTTTTCATACTACCATTTAACTGATTTTTGTTTTTATAAGCCTTTTCATTTCTATTTTTCATTCATCTTTTTTCTTCCCACTTTCTTCTGTCCTTTATTCTATAAAGCTTTGTATAATTATTTATATTTTATAATTTATATTATTAATTCTTTCTTCTTCATTTTCCCAACCATTTTATCATAATTTTATTTGTTTATTCTCATGCTTTTTTCTTTATTACTTTTTCAATTAATTCACTTTTTCTTTTTGCCATCATCCTTTCACATTCCTTCTTTTCTTTGCAACTTATCTTTCATTCTTTTTTTCTTTAGATTTCATTCTTCTCCAAAGTAAATCTTTTCTTTTCTTTTCCTCCCCTTCTGAACTTAACTTTCACCTTAACGCAATCTCCCGCTATCCCCCTCTCTCATTTTTTATTGCATATCTCCTCCATCTCTCAGAAATTGTAAAATTACTTAGCTCTCGCCACTCCTCATTCTCTCCTCCTACCCCGTTCCCGAAATGCCTCCTACCATCTCCCTCGCCGTCCTAGCATGGCCTCTCATCTTGAAATCGGCGATTTCATGCTGAACGAAATTTGCTCGGCGCGGCCATAAGTCGGCCACTAAAATCTTTCTTGGCGAGTACACCCTGACACAAGAACCTTGGTGAGTATTTAGACCCGTCCATGTCTTTTCTATTGTTGACTGAGGGATGAAATCGTTCGTTTTTCGATAAGCAAATGAAACCCTCCACTCCGTCTCTCTTCTGTGAAACTCTCTTCTTTCTTCTCTCATGTCCCCCCCACTTTTTTTTTTTTTACTTGTCGATAAATTCCTCACCCACTCTCTTTCCCATTCTTACCACTTATATGCCTACCTAAATACATAGAGCTTTTTTTTTTGTATATGTTTTTTTTTTACATTTAAGACGTTACGTATTGTTATTTTAAGAATGGAATATTGACAAGAGGATCGCCTTTTCGTTGTGCTTACCTTTAATTAAATGTGTTATTTTTATCATTAATCGGTTTAAAAAAAAAATATTTTACAGCTTCTAAAATAAATGTATATGTATATTTTTTTTTTTACAAAAGACGTCTTTATGAGAAAGATTCACTTTCATTAAAAATAATTATTAAATTAAAAAAAAAATCACCTTTTTTGAACAGGAAAAAATCAACAGTATCTTCATACCGTAAAGAAAAACGTATTTTATTTTAATAATGATCCATTTTATCAGATTATATCATTTAATTGTGTAACTAAAAAAGTAGTAAATGCTCTGGCTGTTGTTTACTCTCTTTCTACCCAGAAAAAATTCCTTGTCTTCAGTTTTCATACCTAGCCTGAAAAAGAAGACGAAGTCTACCCTTATTTCAAATTTGGTCTACACTACAGTACAGTACAGTACATAAATCCTTTATTTACACTTTTTAATAGTAATTTCTCTTAGTGCCCAGAAGTGTTAAGCACTAATACTACATTGATCTAAAAATCTATATCAAATGCATGAACACATACAAAAAATTAATAGCACAATATTCAAAAAGGTGTTAAAAGCTGAATAATGTTTATAATACTTTAAAAATCTACACCCATTCAGATAGATTTTATGCACGCATCAAACATTTAATAAGCAAAAGAGAAAAAAACCAACATGCATGTTTGCATTTAAAAAAAAAACTCACTTAAAAAGAGTTAAAAATCACTAACAACATTATCCTTTTCAATTTAATTTACTTTTTTTTTTTATTCTTGATGATTAGATAGTAGATGTTTTGTTTCCTTTTTTGTGCTTGTGTATTTTTTTTTTAAATATCAACAATGAGAAACGAATTTTATTTTTCATGTATTTTCTCATGTTTTTGTTCATTTTTTCCCCCTTTTCGGAACTCGCTTCCAGTTTTGTATGTAACCTGCTCATTACATCTTTTTTTTTTAACTACATATTTAACTTTTCAGAGTATTTTTTTTATTAAAGAAAAAAAAAACTCTTTTGTCGTAATTATATATATATCATTTTTTTTTAATTTCTATCCTATTAAATTCTTTTTTTTTTTTTTTTTTCAATGAATTGTTGTCGGCACTGTTGTATGTGCATTAGTCGTCTTTGGCGCGGACATATAATTTTCTTTTCTTTAAAATTATTTTTAATTGTATAACTAGAGTTGTATTCTAGTTCTTATTTTAACACTAAAACCAAATTGTTTATTTATATAAGTAGCGATCACTGTAAAAATTACGCTGTTAAATTTCTTTCTTTCTCCTCCATGCTCAGCGTAAATAGTAAAAAGGCGTATTTATTGTAATGAATGTAGTAATATATATATATAATATATATATATATTTTTTTTACACTGGTTTTAAATTTCTTCAAACATGTTTGTGATAAAAGCTTAAAAGTTATCTAAAGCTTTAAATAATGACTCAAGTGATATCGGTACGTGTGGTTGACACTTATTATTTATGGTGTGTTGGTATTTCTTTTATTGTTTTATCGATCTGGTCGTGAGGTTTCCCCTTCCCGCACTACCTGAGAAATTGTACAACTGGATTCGCCATTCATCGTGCTTCTTGTGTGTAAAATGCATTTCCATTTCTGATACTACTTTTTGTTTTTTTTTTTGTTTTCCTTAAATTACCCAACACATCGAATTGCTTATATATTTTGTCTTCAGAGAAGTAATCACTGAAAAAAAAAATAGTGTTTTGTTTATTTTGATGCGTGTGTATATACGTGATTTTACATTTACAACTAAACGACTATGAACAGTAGAGTGGAAGAGTCTGGTAGTCGATGAGTCAAAAGTTTCATCTTACTTACGTGCTGAATTAGTGAGGCTCGATTCCATTTAAACTTCGAGATAGAAAAATAAATCAAAGCAATGGGCTTTTCATCTTGGTTAATTTTGTAAAAATTTGCAGTGATCTTGAAAATTACTTCGTTTTTCATTGAAAGGATTTTATTTTGGGGTGATATTTTTTGGTTAACTTTTTTTTCTTTTGAATGTGTTCCATTTAGATTTTTTTTATAGCAAATTCTTAGTATTCTGTCTATGAAGGCTGATTTTAGAGCGCTGATGCCTATGTAGATTTTTTTTTGTATTGAATGAAAACGACACTAACTTACGATAGTAGGCAGTAGAAAGGAAATAAATAATAAAAAAAAGTGAAACCATTATTTTTTTTTTCACGTTTGCTTACTTACCTAGACTTCTTTCTTTTCTTTTTAAGGTGAACTCAAGTGATCTTCGCTATTACCTTAGTTTTATTGACAATGTAGCCGGTAATACTTGCTATTTTAAGAGAACACAGCAAATGTGTAGTGTAGTTATGGATGCTAGTTATTGTAACAATTGTAGTTATCTTTCTAAAACTTATCAACTTTTTTTTTTGTCACCTTGTTGACTGTAAATGTATGTGTACAAAAAAAAAGGCAGCAATGAAAATCAGATCATTTTAGAGAGGAAACCAGTATGTTAGTATCAGGATAGAGACGGCATCTGAATTTCTGCAAGGAAAACTTTTTTCTAGTCAATAGAAAATAAGTGTTTTGAGCAAATGTTACATCTGTTTATTTAATTATTGTTGCATTTGTGTGCTTAATACAAATACTAGGAAATTCTTTTATAATCTTGTAATAAAAATGAAAATCTCAATCCTAAAACAACTGATCCAAATTATTTACAAAGCATAATTTGAATTTGTTTTCAAAGTATAATTGGAATGTGTGCATTTCTAAATGCATGCATATATATCACTAAATGAGTCAAAATTCCGTAATTTACAAAGCACAAACAGCAATCTAGAAAATTAAAGAATTTCTAAAGGAAAGGATCATCATCCACAAAAATTTCAGAAAGTAAATTTTTTTCAATGTTCATCAGCATAAGAATTTGAAGTAGTTCATTTGATAGCATGTAGTGTAGCTGACTTGTTTGAATGACAGGGTCAAAAGATATTTGTAATCTAAGAACATAATTTGAGTATGTAGATGCATGCAAAGAATACTTAAATAGGATACGGAAGCAGCAAAGCAGGCACATCTTACATAACCCTTTCAGAAGTGCGATATGAACCTGAAATTACATCAAAGTGAATCAAATTATGTTTTCTGATTGTAGGGGGATGGTTCTTGTAAACTCTTCATTCAAAGTTCTCAAAAGGCTGTTAAGATTTGGATGAGAGACTGTAATCCATTGCAATGTTCCTGCTTATCTAAACCAAGAGGATTACATGTGAATTTTAGCAATTCATCTTGGAAACAACATGGATTAAGATATGTTGTGCCCAATACAAGTTCATAATTTTTAGGGAAACATTTGTAGTGTGTTTTTCAACCCTGTAACAATCCATTAGATCATCAATTCTTTAGTCTCTTTGTTGCTATTCTCAGGTTCATTCTGACCTGGTATGGGCAGATCTATTTCATCAACAGATCTGCCTGTACAAGGTAATACCATTCCATGGAAAAATGAGTTGATGACCTGCTTAGTTTGCTGTGAAAGGTGGACCTCTTTTCTTTGTTAAGTCATCTATCTAGGAAAAAGAACTTTGATATAAAACCAGCAACCTCAATTTCATTCAATGATGTAAACTATTTCTGCTTTTTGGTAAATGCTGTTGTTGTTGTTCTGCAAGTGGAATTGGTTTTCATTTTTGGAATTCTCTTTCTATTGCAAAATCAGTTTCATCATTGAATATTTGTTTTGCTGCTTCAATTAAATTTTTCGTTATTTTCATGATGTTTTTAAAGTCCACCACATGTTTTAAAATTCCTACCATATTCCAGAGGAGGCAAGGTGGAGTAATGGATAGTGGCTCGGATTGAGGAATCAGAGAGCCGAGTTCAGATTCCAGTTGAATCCATTACATTCACTTATGTGCTAATACCCTTGGGAAAGGTATGAATCCTCTTCTTCTCTTCCCAGCTATGTCTAAATAGTAGGACAAACTGGGTTCTATAGCCTTGGATGGCAACTGGTCTACTGCTGAAAGAAATGGCAACATACTGCAGGAAAAAATCTGTCTTGTCAGTCATGTATTGAAAGATATATGATCGCCTAAGCATGTATCATGCATGGCACATAACTGACTGACCATATTCCAGGCATTAAGATAATTTAAGCATTCTGTTTGTAAATATTCTGAGGCCAGTCTCTGAATACTGTACACTTGCAGTAAGAAGAAACCTGCCGAATTAATGTCAAATCTGCATGACTTATCAAGATGGGAATTGACTTTGAAAGTAAATTTTACACTAAATTAGGGATGAGATTTGGCACTCCAAATCAAGACAACAATCAGCTTGGGCTATTTGTAAAACAATTCAGGCTATGGTGAGTCAAAACCTCCAGAAATTTGTTCAAGGGTATTGTGATTAACCCACCAACAGGTTTCTCCTCTTTAAAGAAAAAAGTATTGAATGAGGACTATGGGGTATAACTGTATCATTATGATGCTAAATGTGAGGTGATGATGATAATAGCAATAATAATAATAAATGCAGAAAAACAAATAGGAATGGCTTGCCTGTGTTCACAAGTTTCTGGACACACTCTACCCTGATGTTGCACCTAGTTCCATGAATAATTTGTGGCAACTAGGGAAATTTAAAATTTTGTCTAAATTACCAAAGAAACACTTATAGTTCTGGATATCTCATA